TGTTATTCTGCTCTCTGAGAGCCGCCAATTGTGCCTGAGTCTGAGCTTGGAGCTGAGCTTGTGACTGTTGGTTCATAAGATCACTGCCACAAAATTGACCTTGAAGTCCCATCGAGGCGGCTGGAAACCGTCCAGGAAACATGGCAGCACTGTCAGGTTTGTGAACTGCAAAATTAGTTTAAAAAGTTAAGATGCATCCACAACGCTTGCAAGATTCGTGATAAGGCTCAAGGCCCTCGGCATTCAAGTCAACCCCATCGACAGCTATCAGTGTTCAAATGAATTACGTGCACAATTTCAACCTCACCAAAGCAACCAAAAGGAAAAAAGGACCACACCTGTAAAGCATGTCCTGTTACCTGTTCATGTCAAAATGGCTGCGGGAATGCGCTTGAGCTTCACTGAAAAAAGGGGTTGTTGTCGTGGCTTCCAGCTATGCAGAACATGGTGAAATTGGAAAAAGCGATGCCCAATACTGCGGCAAGCAGTTTCAACACTCACTCGACCGACGAGTGAAACAATGAAAAAAGGCCAGCAGTTCACTTTACTTAGACGAATTACTAATTCAAAAGTGTAAATTCAGACATCGTGTTACCGTCAATTGTTAGCCTGGAAAGGCTTTCCCCGAAGGGCTCATACCACCTTGTCGGACAACGGTATGAGTGACACACTTGCTCAGAAATATCTTATCGAATTACTGTTGTGGAGTGCATCGGGCGTGCACAAACAATCCCCTAAAGTCTGACAGGAGAAAAAAGGTTGATCCATTGTGAGATTCAGTTCGAAGTGTGCTTTCTACGTCCTTGCTCTGAGGAAGGTTCCGATGCAGCCGAACCATACATAGTTGGTCGAAAGTAATTCCAGATTGCGACAACAGTGCAGTAAAAAGAAATTTCAAATGAACGACATGGAGGTTCTTGGGTTGAGCCTCTTCCCATTTCTGAAAAAAAATGGCAGGTACGTCACGGTGATCAGCCGTGATATCACAAGCATTGGATAGGTGTCTTCGTTGGCACCTGACCTATCCATGCTTCAGGTGCCCCCTGCAAACATCATGTAGAAACAAGAAAAACAAGAACCAGCAACCAAAAGAAGTTTTACATCTGTGCAGATGGTTCACACACACACACATATATATATATATATGTATATACATATATGAGTTGCTTCGGGATCAGATGAATCCACAAAGAGGATATACGAGGCTACAATTTTGGGGTCGGCAGCCCGGAAAATGCAAGTTGGACAAGCTTGCCTCCAAGAATGTAAGTTCAAATCAGGACCGTTGAAGAAAACATACATGTAAAATAGCAGCAACTTCAGTTGTAAGTTACATTCTCTTGCCCAGTTGTAACTTGGCTACGGCTAGGGGAGGGATGTAATAACGCCACAGATGCGGAACAACGAACCACTGAGAACCACTGAGAACCACTGAGAACCACTGAGAACCACTGCGAACATTGGGACGAACGAAGTGTAGAACGAAGTGCAGTGCTGCCCCGTTCCATCCCACAGCTCAGCCCCCCGTTCCCTTGACTCGGCCCTTGACATCCCGTGCGACTGTAAACTTTACAAATCAGCGAATCGGTTCAATCTTCGTTCAATTTTTTCAAATATTTTTCAGTTTTTTTAAATATTTTCATCTATGTTTCAATCTTTGATCGGAGCGGCAGTTAAGCACAGAGCCATTGCACGTCGGAATGGAGTTCTGCGATGCCATGAGCACTGATCAAAAGGGTCAGGCCAATACCATCCTGTGACAATTGCATGCCTCAATGAGCTTAGAAAATACCAATGTCTAGGAAAACTATGTTTGTTACTGTTATTGTTTGTTCATCCTTCCAATGTCCTTTCAGTGCTTTGACTGTGATTTCCCTTAATTGCTACTGATTTTGATCGCCTTCTCAAAGCACGGCTGTCCCGGATCCGTGCAGCAAATGACGCTTGTTGGCGCCGCATGCTTCACCTGGTCTTAGTCCCTGCAGAGATGCATCCTTTGACTATGTCTGACTATGTGACCCAAGCGCGGGTATACATTTCCAGCTGGGGCACACACAGAGTGTATAACTGTCTGTTTCATTTACACACAAATGCACAAATAATTCAAAACGTATATCTATCTATCTATCTATCTATCTATCTACCTATCTATCTTATTCTATCTTATCTTATCTTATCTTATCTTGTTTTATCTTATCTTATCTTATCTAATCTTATCTAATATTATCTAATATTATCTGTCTATCTGTCTATCTATCTATCTATCAGATAGATACTATCTACCTATCTATCTATCTATCTATCTAATCTATTCTATTCTATTCTAATCTAATCTTATCTTATTTTATCTTATCTTATCTAATCTATCTATCTATCTATCTATCTATCTATGTGTATATGCATATATTATATACTGCACGTGATATGTATATATATATATCATGCTATATATATATATACATACGTACGCCATAAGCCATATATCTGAATATATACACGCACACACACACAAATGTATACATATATACATATATATGTACATGCTCACAGTCACACACACACATATATATATATATGTATCACGCACACAAATAAGCATGTATATTTATGTATGTGTATATATATATATTTATTTATTTATTTATTTGCTTCTTTATTTGTTAATTTTAATTTATTTATTTATGTATTTATTTATTTATATGTATATGCGTGTGGCGTGTGTGCATGTCTATAATTCAGGCACATGAGTCCGAAATATCCACAAACATGAGCTCACATACACTCTGCAATTTCAGCGCAAGTTTGCAAATAGAACTGAAGATGTCCACTTGGCTTTGGTATGCCATCGAAGCTTTCGCGGCACGTGCAAGCTGATATGCTGTAGCTGTTTCATGCTCAGTTGATGCTTTGAGAATTTTGAAGTCACGAGCTTGTGGCTCGTAATGTTTCTGGAGCGATGCCCATGTGGGGCAGGCACAGGGTACCAGCAATTCATGGCAGCGCTCTGCGTAGTGTCAGACTCTGCAGTTTCCGTGGAGCTGAGAGAAACCGGATTTGAACCGAGCTTAAGAAAGCAAATCGCGCGACAATCAAAAGCCGCATGCAAAGCGAATGTGGCAGTAGTTGACAGCTGCTTGGTGATGTTTCGGCTTGAGTTTCAGTGGTGCATCTAGGAATTATGGACTGAGTCTTCCTCCGCTGGTCTGAGTTGTTTTGAAATAGCAACTGCAATGGTCATCCTCAGTCTACTTTGCACTTATGTGGCTTTTGATGCTTTTCGAACTGTTTTTCCATATCTTTTCTATGTTTTTCCTCTCCGGTCTTTGCGCTGCCAGGTGGCAAATTGGCTTCGGCAGCAGGAAGTGACAGGACAAGTGCTTCGCAGCTTGGACGAGGTAAGGTGTGCAGATGGTGTGCAGTCGTCCAGATGTGAAGTGTTATCGAGAGCAGCGAGATCTGAAGTGTGGATAACGGTAGACAGGGTCGACACATCGGATAGCCGGGTACTGCCACCTCGGTAAACCTCGGTAATCTCATTTTCAAATATTTCCAAAAAAGTCATCATAAGTCATCGATTTTGCGAAGGCGGAGCTTGCGGCAATGGGTCTAGAACCCTTCGGCCGGCGAAGACAACTCCTGCTGTGCCGAAGCATGGGCCTGTTTGAAGGGCACGGGGGTCGCATTTGCCCCTACCTCATGTGGGGTCGCACTTGCCCCTACTGAAGGTGAAGGTAGGGGCGTAGCGTAGGGGCGAATGTGACTCGACCTAGCTTTGTGTGGCAGGCGCGACAGTTTTAGAGGTGGGAAAGGATCGTTTTCCAGCTCTAACAGTCAGCTTGTGGACAAATCGCAACTGTCATGGAAAGTGAATTCCAATCAAGACGCTCTGGATGTTACTTTGTAACATCCATTTCAAGTACTGTAAGTTCCAAGACGTTCTGCATGCTACGTTGCAACAACCATTTCAAGCACCTTCCAAGACGCTCTGCATGCTACGTGGAGCCCATCCATGTGCGCTAACTTCCAAGATGCTCTGCATGCTACGTTGCAACATCTGTTTCATGTGACTTCCAAGACTCTCTGTATGCTAGGTTGTAACATCTATATATTTATTTCAGAGCAACTTCCAAGACGCGCTGGATGCTACGTTGTAACTTCCGTTGGGCTCGTGGGCTCTTGGGTGTTTGTTTTGGGACCGTACCCAGGGCCCCTAAAAGTCCTAAAACAGGGGATGCTACCTCACACTCCCAACCCCTGGCCCCAAGTCCCACCTAAATGTCCCTTGTCCCCAGATTAAACCTTAAAAGGTTGAATGACATATTGAGCATTGAGGTAGGGGCGAATGTGACCGCGTCCCTGTTTGAAGCGGAGCATCTACCAGTCTTTTTTTTTGTGCAAGAAGCAGGTCGAGCTGAGTTGATTTTGTTGCCAGGTGAGGACGTTTTAGTTGTGGCCTTGGCTGCTTTCATCAATAGTACAACTAAGACGATGCAGCAGTGAAGACAAAGAAAGCAACTTTCAAGGGTGACACTGAAAAGTAGTTAGATGTGGCCAGATTAATAGCAGTTGCAGTTCTTGGCCACATGTTTTTGATCATTTGATCAAGGCAGAAGAAGCGAAGGAAGTCAAGGAGAAGAAGGCCGATTTCAGGTCAGGCCGTGCTGCTCGTGTTGATTTTGTGCCATCTTGTGCTGTGGGCCCTGTGAATCTCCGTCCTTAGGATGCTTGATGAACGTGCCTGTTCTGCACATGTCTGGACCCGTCAACCTTTCGAGCAGATGCTCCATCTTCTTTTCAAGCTAAGAGTCACCTGGATAGCTGTGCCGAATTTGCACGACAAATTTCATGGATGAAAAGAGATGAAAAGAGCACCATTTGAGACTTACGGGCAGTGGTGGCAATTGGTTTGAGAAGTTGTTTTTAGTTGTTTGGGTTGATCCAAAATAACTTTTCTGATCTCATTCTGTTTGGTTTGGTCGGCTGTCTCACCATATGACAACATGCGCTCCTTGTTCCCCCTGGGAAGCTGCCGATGGCGTTCGACGGGTGCCTCTGCGCAGTGGTTGCGACAGCGGCGGCAGCATTTAAACGAGGCGTTCAAGTGTGGCAAGCGAAAGACTTGGAAAATGATTGATACCCTGGCCTTGAGGCAGCGTGAATAATGAAGAGATGTGAAGAGAACAAAATAGAGCTTGAGACATCCTGAGACCAGACAGAAACGGCTCTCAGATGCTCTCAGTATGTTCTGCTTCCACGGGAGGTTTTCCAGGCATCCCACAAGGATAACCACTGCAATTCATTGGATGAGGCTGGCAGAAACAGGCGGCGCTGGGCGGAGCTCGATACTGCAACTGACGTTCAACCGTTCAAGCGTTGGAACGTCTTTTAAACTTTTAGCCGGTTTTCAGTAGGTTTCAGTTGACCAATGTTTTTCGTCGGAAACGATCATTCCTGATTTCAATTTTTATCCAAAATTTGGTGTCGTCCTGTTCATTGGGCGTGGCAGCCTTGCATAAGAATTGGTGCATCACTGGCTCCTCATGTTTGTCATCTCCTTGTCCCCATGTCCTTTTGTCCTCTGTCCATCCTGTCCGCCCCAGTTCCCCTAGAGATAATCCCCAAATGGATCCAAATGGTGCAATGGCAGCGCAAGTGATCCTTTTTGGTTTTGGTCGGCACTGTTGGATTTGTTTAGTCCGCTGGCACTTCGTATGATGCGGTTCTCGGTTGGCACGACTCACAGTGGCCTATTCCTTCTCATGCGATGCCTGCTTTGATGGACGTCAACTGGTTGCCGTTGTGATGCCTTGTAGGTATGCAGATGCAAGCTTGGAGAAATCAAGTTGGCCTGAAGTGATGAAGGGACTTGCATGGTGCAAGCAGCAGCTAGAGCAGGCTTGCCAGGGCATCGGCCCCCTCAAGCGAATTACGGCATCCCACGGCCAAATAGCAATGACATAGCAATGACTATCACTACAATTTCCCCACGTTTTGACATTTCCAGTTGTGGCAAGTCGTCACGTCCCTTCCAGGTGACCTGCGATGGAATAGATGCAATCCATGTGTTGGACATCGGGAGCTGCAACAATGCTGCCGGACTTCAAGATCACAATGTGTCACCTGCCGCAGACTATAGGAATAATGTCGGAATGGTTTCAGTGGCCACATGAGGCACTGCTTCTGATGCATCCTTGTGCCCCCATTTACTACAGAACGGTTTGTGAGGCATTCTCTAAGATGTTATCCAAAAATGTTTGATGGCTCCGCGTTTTGAACCCAAAAATAAAGGCTTGAAGCAGATTCTTTGTTTGTGCCATTGGCTGTTGTGCAGCGTTGGAACAGTGCGACCTGGGCAGCTTTATGGAGACAGGCGAAATCACAATCAGAGTGGTCAGTAGTATGCTTTGACTAGCCATGGCCAACGCATGGCCAATACTACCGATATTGTAAATCGCTTGTGTTGCAAACAAAATTCACGCTTCTGCTGATGTGCAAAATGTTCAGCAGAGCCGGGTCACCAACCATACATACAAAAGCAATACAGTAGCCAGTCTGCAAATTGCACTCGTAGAGCTCACTTGCTATTTACAGAGTGCAACAAAATCCCCCGGCCATGCTTTATCCAAACTTTATCATACTGTCTTCAGACTTTCTTCAGAGACTTTCTGAGCGGTTGTGACGGTTGTGTGATGAGCAGACTTTTTTACTGCAGAGTCTGCAGACACTTCCGTGGCTTCGGCACGAGGCGCGTCACTGCATTGGATCTATGTCCGCGACACCCGTCGGTGTTGCAGTGCGACTTTCTCCAACTGCAAGTTCTGCCCCGTACAAAGCGACCTCTGAGAGAAGGAGCAACCGCACAAAGCATCATGAAAAGCAAGCCGTTGTCTTGTAATGTCTTGAATTATATATGTACTTTGAATGAGCACAATGTGCTATGAAATTTCAAATCGGTTTTTGCATGTTTTTGCAATTTTGCACGTGCCGTGTGGTGTGTAGCAGCTATACTTTGCCTACAAGAAAAAGCAAACAGCCAGGTGTGCCAAGCCTGGCAAGTCTGCCAGTCTACCCCAGTCGATGTTTTTGCCAGCGGAGGGAAAACCGCAGAAACGCTTTTCAAACGTTTTTGCTTTTTTGTGGTGTTCTTCACGTTCCAATTTTTCTCATGTGCCAAAATATCTGGGGTGCGGGTGTGGGGGGGGCCGTGTGTAGAAGAGAAGTGGGGCTACACGCTTCTTAAATCTTCTTACATGCGCACGAGCTATTACGCCACTTGATGCTACATGCAGAAGAATCAGAAGAGCTACCACGCTACGTGCTTCTTACATGCGCACGAGCTGTCCCGCGACACGATTCTTACACGCAGAACAGATGTCACGCTACATGGTTCTTACTAGTAGATGCACAGGAGATGTCAGGCTGCATGTCTCTTACATGCAGAAAAAGATAGAAAAAAGTAGGTAGGCCTTAAATCGGTTGCCCGAAGTTACATGAAGAACAGAATTGCAAATCAGCTTGGCGCTGTGGTGAAGCATGTTTATTATAACCTAATTTTGTGCGCGCGGAATTCGCCCCGGTGGAATATTTGCGTCCCCCGCCTTTGTACCTCCCTCAGCAGATTAAAATGTGCCTTTTGTATCCTTTTGTTTCACTTTTTAGCTTGTTCGCAGGACCAAAGCTGCTGGGGCTGCCTGCAGAGAGTTTCGATGTTTGCTTGTTTTCAATGGTGCCACACTCAATCTGCAGCTGGAGGATCTGGAGGGTTGTTCTTGTCATTTCGGTGGTGAAGAAGCCGCTTGGTGGAACTCCTGAGCCACTGCAGACCCCTGGTTAGAGGGTTGGTTGTTCGTTGTTGGTTGGTTGTTCGTTGTTGGTTGGTTGTCCGTTGTTGGTTGGTTGTTCGTTGTTGGTTGGTTGTTCGCTGTTGGTTGTTCGTTGTTGGTTGGTTGTTCGTTGTTGGTTGGTGTTTGTTGGTGTTTGTTGTTGTTGTTGTTGTTGTTGTTGTTGTTGTGGTTGTTGTTGTTGTTGTGGTTGTTGGGTGTTGGGTGTTGGGTGTTGGGTGTTGGGTGTTGGGTGTTGGGTGTTGGTTGTTGGTTGTTGGTTGGTGGTTGGTGGTTGGTGGTTGGTGGTTGGTGGTTGGTGGTTGTTGGTTGGTGGTTGGTGGTTGGTGTTTGTTGTTGTTGTTGTTGTTGGTTGTTGGTTGTTGGTTGTTGGTTGTTGGTTGTTGTTGTTGTTGTTGTTGGTTGTTGGTTGTTGGTTGTTGGTTGTTGGTTGTTGGTGGTTGTTGTTGTTGTTGTTGTTGTTGTTGTTGTTGTTGTTGTGGTTGGTTGGTTGGTTGGTTGGTTGGTTGTTGTTGTTGTTTGTTTGTTTGGTTGGTTGGTTGGTGTTGGTGTTGGTGTTGGTGTTGTTGTTGTTGTTGTTTTTGTTGTTTTGGGGGATGTTGTTGTTTGGGCTGGGGGATGTTGTTGTTCTGTTGTTCCGGGGCGGGGCGGTGCTGTTGATTGGCGGCCCTTCCCGTCCTTCGCTCGTTGGGCCAGATTGCCAACGCGGCATGTTTCAGATTGGCTTCATATGCCAAGTATTTGATTTGGCACCCGGAAAGACGTGTCCTTTCTTGTCGTGCAAGATGTGATTGCATGCAGCCCGAAGGGGGGAAGAAGGCGGCAGGGCGCCGGTCGCTCCAGGCGTAAGCTTAGTCTTTGGCGCCGGTTGGTTGGGGGTTATGGGGGGAAGGGGGCAATAGTGGGGACATGAAACAAGTTCTTGTTGCACCTGACCCACAACACCTTTTGGGTCTGATTTTGTGGAGCAGAGGCGTTGCAGGGAGAAGCGGGGGAGACAACGTTCACTTGAATTGTTGGATGGACAAGGATGGACCGACCGTATATATCCGTATATTAATTTGGAGTTTTGCCTCGCCGAATGTGGCATTGGAAAACTCAATGTGCTATCAACCCCCGAATGTCCCTTAGCTATATAAAACCATGGGAAAACGCATTTCGCTTTCGAAGCGCGCCGAAATTCAGATGGACCTTTGCAGGGGTGGCGAGACAGCCGCCTTTTTTTTTGTTTTCTTGGGTCTGCCAGACAAGGGGAGGAAACAGATTTGTTGTCAGCCTTTCGCGCTGAAGCCTGATGTGATTACTGAATGGTTATTTTTCGGTGTTTGTGTGTGTGTGTGTGTCATCCGTCTCTTGTTTTGCAAACAACTCCACATGTGAAGATTAAGGAAGCAAAACAAGACATTCATTTTTCCGTTTCTCATGATGATGATGATGATGATGATGATGATGACGATGATGATGACGATGACAATGACCATGGCGTTGACAGCAGTTGAATCCAATGTAACTAAACTTCGTCACAGGTTTGTAAACTTGTCAGCCGCGCCAAAGGGCTGATGGTTTTTCTTTGCTGCCAGCACTTGAGACATACGCAAAAAAATCCATCATACATGCACCTTCCACCAGTTGAAATGCCAGAAATGTATATACGGGTGTATTTTCACATGTTTCAGCTCATGGCTCCGAGAGAATGATACGATGCCCAAATCATGCTGGAACAGAGACCCTGAAGGGAACACGTATGGGTGATGTGACGCAGGTGCTACACCACTGGTCGCAAGATCTTCAACAAGACGGACTCGAGAAGGTGATGATTCCTGGGACGCTGGAACGACAACATGCAATTTGAATTCGCAAGCCATGCTGTCGACATTTTTCCACATCTTTCATCATCTTTCCACATCTTTGCGCATGTCACCTTGCCACTTCATGATTGCTTGTGATACTTCATGTGAATTCAATCGTATTCACGTACTCTGCAGGCTTACGAGTTGTTAGTGCACAGCGGTATCCTTCTGGTGATTGAGACGCTTGCCCTTCGATACTATTGAGAAACATTGGTCACAATGCACAGCAACTCAATGAACTAGCCAGGGGCATGACGGCACGATACTTTAGTGACTGTAGTGAATCTGCATGTTCTTTGTTGGGCGCCCTGTGCCACTCAGGAATCGTGTATGGAACGACCATGCCTGTTTGTCACACAGCCGTTTTGCCTTGGAGACTGAGCAACGTATCAGGCGAACATCTTTAAGGGCCTTGAGGCTACGAGCTTTGTAGCACGGTTTCAGCTACACAACCCACCCAGATGCACAACTTATGCCAGAGCTCACGCATGCTGATCATGCTGAAGGCCTTCAAAGGATTTTGAATGTCCAGAATCACAACACAGAAGCCGCGCCAACTCCAATGCCAATCATTCAACATCATTTGGCGAAGCACTTCGTGGTCAACCTGCGTTGCCTTTGCATGTTTTTTGTTGCTTTGCCTTGCGCCATTTGAAAAAAGGAGGGAGAAGGTCAAAAAAACAACAGCGCTGCATCAAGTAGAATTGCACAAAGGTCAGCAGCAGCATTTTCATTCTCTACGGAAGGTGTTGTTGAGAGCCATCTGTTGGAAAAATGTTGAAGTCTTCGAAGGTCTTCGAAGGTGAGCACAGGAAAGAGAAGGCTTGACAACTTGACATCATTTGGATTTACTGTGGCGTGGCCTTCCCATTTCGATTGGCTGTGGCGGACTTCAGTTGCAAGACTATAGAATCTGTCCGCTTCACAGAAGTTCTCGAATCAACTGACTGTGCTGCCCTTGCATCAAGAACCCCCGGGCGAGTTTTAAAAGTGACAAATGCTGCGCCAGCGCGGCTGCAAGCAGCTGTAGACAACAGTTCCAAGTGACGATTTTGCATTTAAAGTCCGAGGTGTCTGTGATGGCATTTGTCACTGTATTCACCCCGCTTCGCGTGGGGTGGCCGCCCACACCGCAGGTTTATTTCGGTCCGTGGGGGCTCCCCAAGCTAAGAATTTTCACTTTCCCCCCCCCGTGGGGGCTCCCCAAGCTAGGGAATTTTCACTTTTCCCCCCCGTGGGGGCTTCCCAAGCTAGGGAATTTTCACTTTTCCCCGCCGTGACAGCTTCCCAAGCTATGGAATTTTCACTTTTCCCTCCCTTGGAGGCTCTCCAAGCTGCGGAATTTCAAATAGCTAGACAACGACGCCTAGATAGTCCCCCAAATCCCGTGTTCTTTGAATGTGTTTCCATGTTTTTGCAATGGTTTCCCTCAAAGCACGGTACTTTACACTTTTGTCGCCATAAAACCGGTCGAAAACATCATGTTCGACAATGCTTCCAATTCCCTTATCTCCCCAACCGTTGAAAATACCGCTATTTACAGTGTTTTCTTCAATTTTTCCATGTTCCAATGCCGGTAGCCAACTCCAACATATATATAAGAAATCCTTCCAAAACATTGTGTTTGACAGTGTTTTTCCAATGTTTCCAGTCAAACAGACGGTAATTTACACGTTTTTTGCCATAAAGGCAGTAAATCCTTCCAAAACATTGCTTTTGACAGTGTTTTTGTAATGTTTCCAGTCAAGCATACGGTAATTTACACGTTTTTTGCTATAACGTCAGTCCAAAACACTTGTTTTTGCAGTGTTTTCAATGCTCTGGCATCCAAAAACCCTGCAAAATCTTGCTATGTACAATGTTTTTTTTCATTTTTGGCCGTTTTTCCATTGCCGGAAAGCTACCAAAATGACCCAAAATTCCATTTCAATACCCTCTTGCGCTCAGACACCCAAAAATCCTCGAAAAATGTCGAAAACACCACCGTATTCTGGTCTCGGTGCGAAACCGTTTTTGGCCCCCCCCCCAGCTAAAGCTGATATAGCGACTGCTATACTAACAAATGTGATTGAGCATTTAGTGTAGCTGTTTCCCCCCAATAAGCACGCCTTCACCGCCAAAGCGGTGTGGGCGGATTTGATGGTGCTGATGGTGCTGATGGTGCTGCTGCTGCTGGTGGTGGTTGTTGTGGTGGTGGTGGTGGCGGTGGTGGCGGTGGCGATGTTGATATTGATGTTGATGTTGATGGTGATGTAATGTGATATGACATGACATGATATGATATGGCATGAGAATGCTGATGGAACTGATCGCTCTCAACTCAACGATGCGGATGATGATGCTAGAGATGGTGACGGCGGCTATCCAATGCCAGCCTGAAGGGCCTGGAGCCAGGTGTGAGATCTACGAGCTTACGCGGCAAGAGACAAGGCCCAGAGAGGTTGTAACTTGTTGTAACGTGTTTTAACATGTTTTTTAAAAACAGTTCAGTATAGTTCGGTATAGTTCAGTTGAATCCGTTCGAGCAGATCGAGTCCATTCGTTTGCCTTCATTTTTGTCTGCACTGGTCAGATTCTGGGCCAGGTCTATTGAAGACAAGTCACAGCATAGCCAGCCAGAGCCTCCAATGCAGTTTGAACGCACGGTTTCAACTGACTTGACATGCGTGCTTTCATGGCCAAGGCACTCGACGAAAGTTGCCAAGGCTGGCATTTGAGCTCACGGTCGAAGTTCATGTGCTGTTCCGCTCCCTGGTTTTAGACGCTTTCCTCCAACTTCAAGCAGGTTGAGATAGTTCTTCTCTTACAAATGTTTTTACATGGCTCCACTGCTTCCTGGTGGCATAAAATTCAAAGCAACAATTGCACCTTCCCAGAATCCTTTCTTGCAACTATATATCTCCACATTTCTTCCATGTCCTTCTAAAGCCGGTGTCACCTCGGCATTTTGAAAGGTGAACATCAAACTATATAGATCTATAGACATGTCTTAATAGTGTGCAGTCGCTTGCACATTGACTCCAGCCGGGCCCTCGAAAAAAGATACGCAATACGGCCGTTTGAATTTGTTAGAAAGACAATGAAAGACGTGTTCATTTATATAAATTTATTTAGTATGATTTAGTATATGATTATATATGATTTGGTTTCTTTTGCATGTGGGGATGGGGTGAAATAGAGGTATGTGCTGTACTGAGAGACAGGGAGATATAGATGGAGGGATTAGATGCGACGACAGACTGACAGAAAGATACATCGTGTCAGATTGGAGAAACAACCAGACAGCGACAGATACGCTAGATTTGGCTATACTAGCGGTTACTAGCTTGGGTAGTTTGGTGGTTAGCACGGTCAGAGGGGACGGCATACATTACATATGAGGGAGGGGAGACAGCCTTTCCCTTGCAGCTATGCAAAGGTCCCTTTGGGTTTCATTTTGCTTTGACGGATTTTCATTTCCCAGGAATTTCTCAGGAATCTAGGATAGCCTCGGATAGCCTTTGAGCTTGTTTGTGTGCAGATGTCATGTCGTTCCAATTGTTCCTTCCTGGCACACCCGAGCTTTACAACGAAAGCTTTCCACTCCGTGTCCATTTCCTGACCTTCACAGGCGATCGATTTCGCGGCCTCCCTGCCTGGAACATAGCTAAAGCATGCTAAAGCGAAGAAGACATGATGTGATGATGTGATGATGCCTGATGTGACATGCTTTAAGAAACACGATGCTAGTGATACTAGGATCAAACTTCAAACAGTGATGTGATGATGTGATGATGTGACGTGTGTTTTAAGTGACCTGTCCAGATGCTTGGGGCCACGACCCCGTTGTGATGCATTATGGCGGCATTGGCTTGTTAGACTCAAACAATTGCTGAGACCAACGCCCGCGAGAGCATTGTGCAAGCGCAAATTGAAAGAGGACACCGATGCCGAAAATCTTTCGTTGCTCCAGGCCCTCGCGGCTGCATAGAACTTCAGTCCTACGAGTGTACGAAGTGTACGAAGTGTGCGAAGTGTGCGAAGTGTGCGAAGTGTGCGAAGTGTGCGAAGTGTGCGAAGTTCAGGACGCAACGCTCTGCCAAGCCCAGGAGCTACTTCAGGCCAGGGCTGATCGATGCTGATCGATGCTGATAGTTTGCCATTGCCCAAAGAATCGCCGGAGGGATTTGCAAGTTTTTGCGCGGTCAAATTTCTGGGTTTTGTTAAGTTTTGTTGGTATTTCTTGGTCACGTGGTCACGGCATTTTTGGGACTCAGCTGTAGGTTCCCGAGGAGACACCAGCAGAGATTTCACCTGCTCGGGCTGTAGCAGAGACAGCTCAACTCATCAAGGACCTCTGAAGGTTTTGAGATAAGACACGGTTGGAGATAAGCAAAGCGAAAGCAAACCCGTCAGCTTTCCATAGCTTTGGTGCTGTGAGGAATGTGGGGACATGGAGGTGCGCAAGCCGGTCTCGAAGACCTTGTATGGGCGTGAACCTTTGTAGGGGTCTCAGCACAATGGATCTGAGTGCTGCATGCTATAGCTGCCTTGCGACAATCCTTGTCATATCTTGTCATATCTTGTCATATCTTGTCATATCTTGTCATATCTTGTCATATCTTGTCATATCTTGTCATATCTTGTCATATCTTGTCATATCTTGTCATATCTTGTCATAGCTTGTCATAGCTTGTCATAGCTTGTCATAGCTTGTCATAGCTTGTCATATCTTGTCATATCTTGTCATATCTTGTCATATCTTGTCATATCTTGTCATATCTTGTCATATCTTGTCATATCTTGTCATATCTTGTCATATCTTGTCATATCTTGTCATATCTTGTCATATCTTGTCATATCTTGTGATATCTTGTGATATCTTGTCGTATCTTGTCGTATCTTGTCGTATCTTGTCGTATCTTGTCGTATCTTGTCGTATCTTGTCGTATCTTGTCGTATCTTGTCATATCTTGTCATATCTTGTCATATCTTGTCATATCTTGTCATATCGTGTCGTATCGTGTCATATCTTGTCATATCTTGTCATATCTTGTCATAATAGTCTTACATAGCCATCCTTGCCCATTGTGTTTTTCTTTTGGGTTTGAGGACTGGACGCCCAGAAAGCCATCCGATTCATCCTGGCATTCGGTGTGCTTCCCACACTTTGTCCAGGTGGGAATGCCTCGCGCTGTGATGGCTTTCGCACCGTTGAAGCAATTTGCACCGACATGTATTGAAACGATTTGAAATGTGTATAAAATGTATGGAACCGCATTGCGTTTCAGGTGTTTCCACCAGTGCCTCCCGGGGTTCAATCGTGCCTTGGTTTCTACCTGGCCCCCTACCTTCCAAAACAAGTTTCAAGTTGTCATTCTGCATAGATGGGCAGGTCATTACATGTCATACAATTATGATTTCATTATCCCTATCAGACATCAACAGATTCTAATAGAATCTATATAATAGACTAATAGATATCGACGCAAGATGATGCAAGGTCCGCATGGGTACAGTCCAGTTCAGCAGCCACAGTGGGCATTGCCCTCAGAAGCATCACAACATCGTATGACATCAGTCAAGCCACATTTGAAATTGTTTGGCACAATTTGGCACATGTTTTTCATGTTTGCATTGACTAGTTACGACATGTTACGACTCTCCACCTGGAAAGCAGGTCCCACGAAACCTCGGCATTTGCTCCGGAAGGACCCCATACGAAAGGAGAGACATGGAGAGACTGAATGGTGCCAAAGCAGTGAGCACACAAGACTTGGAGACTTGGAGACTTGGTCAACCGATGTCAACCGAAAACCATTGTTTTCCCTGCGCTGTTGAAGTCTGAGCCCACGGTAGCACAGCCACAAGAACCCTCTCTGATCTCAAATTGTGCCTCTCGTGCTTTTTTCCTCCGTGTAGTGTAGGCTTTCTGGGTAGCCAGATGTAGAAGATGTAGTGCTCTGTGTTGAAGAAACATATTCTCCCCATCCTTTGGGTTATTCCTGAAGTCATCTTCAACTCCCGGCACTCCAGGGCTGTGAGCTGGATGCCACCGAGGTGGGTGCAGGCACGGCTTTTAATTTCTAGAAACTTCGGATCCCTTTTAAAGATGGATGCATTTGCTTGCCTCCCGGTTCCACTGCCTGTCATCTGTCGCCAATGTTGATCTGACATGGTGCATCGTACTGCAAACTGTTTCAGAGTTTCAGTTTCAGATGGGTATGACATCCTTGTCCTACAGTATTCTTTGCATTTCTTTTCCCGTGGTTTCTTTCTTTTACTTTTTTAAAATTCACTTTCCCTTTTTTACTTTCTTACTCCTCTGTCTTGCAAAACCATAATCATAGTATTACCATAGTTGAATCATGGTGATGGCATGTGATGACATGTGACTACAGAGCACGGAAGTGGCGCAGAGTTGGATCAGCACCTTGACAAACTGACAAGGCGCTGTGACCTGAAACGAGTCTGAAACGTTTTGAAACCGGAACACAACAACTGTGCCTTGCATGAAGTTTTTCTATGTTTTTCTTGTGTTTTCTTCCTTCTTCTTTTTGTCCTTTTACTTCACAGTTCTTTGGCTTTCCTATTCTGAATTCGTTGCCCAGAATTTTCCTTCTTTGTCACAATCTATATTTTTCCACATGGGGCAGGTTCCAGCTTCCGCAAGGCTTCAGTGTTTTTTTTGGCGCTGAGCATGCCCACAGATTCAAGAATCATCTCGAAGTGTTCCATCAGCTAACGATGTTGTTGGATGCGTTGTGATGCTCTTTTCAGACATCTAAGTACCACAAGTGAAAACAGACATCCCACTTTGCACCCAGCCCAACAACAGAAACAGAAGGATGGAACATAGAAAAAAAATGGATAGCACCTCTCCCATTTCCAGCTGCACCTCTTTCATTCTTTTCTTTAAAGGATTGACCAGGTCTGCCTGTGGATATGAAAAAGGTCTGAAACCAGTCTGACCCTGCGAATAAACTCACTTAGGCGAGCCATCCTTGGATGCCAAGATGGTCATTCAATTTGAATCAATTTGAAACAAAAGTGCTGCAATAGGTCAATAGGGACAGTTTAGAGTTTAGAGGGAGCAAAATCAAGCAGTTCTGCATTTTTTGAGGGGAAACCTGTATTTTCTCAGACCAAAATGACGACCACATTCTTAAATTTCATGTGCTCATATGAAAGCGAATGCTTGGCAAACATCAGGTCGCGCAAAGAAAATTGAACTGAGGGTCTTAATGAAGACCAATCGGACCCTCATTGAACAAACATTCACACCCTTTGCACATGACATTTTGCAAAGCTGGCCGCAGTCCCCGCTGACTGCTCCAAGCACGAGGCTTTTGGCAGAATTGACCGATTTGACGCATTTGTCTTCAGATTTGTTGCATTTGTTGCATTTGTTACATTTTGTCATCGGATCTCATTGAATCCCAGTCAGTTCACGTGTGTCTCCATCATCCTTTATCCGACTTTATCCCTTCAGATCCTATAGTCTGTAGCATGATGCCAGATTGAACAGTGATGGGATTACAAGATTGGGCCTCAGTATCTGCATGTATCTAAGCTGTATCTAAGCTGCATCTACATGTGTTATTTAGTCATGTCAAGTTTGGGTCATGTGGTCATCGGAACCGCAGGACTATCAGCTGGATGCCAGTACCAATCAAGGTGCCAGGGATTGCAGTGATGCACAGTGTTACATAGTGTTGCCATCTCTCTGAACTTGCTTTGAACATTCATTTTATACATTACATGTTCATTGCTGTTCATTGCGTTTTATTGCTTTTCTCATCTCTCCCGGCTAGATTCCTGGCTTCAGATCCTCAGATCAGCCTTGGGCAGGCCATGCACAGTTGGACAGGGTGCCATACTCCGCTTCGGCGGCTTCTCTGCACTGGTCTGCACTGTGTCCTGACTCATCTTTGCACAATGAAGGCACCGTGGTGCCCATTCACCCCTTTGGACATGTCTAAACATAACATCAGTGCAACCCTGACGTTGCTCCGCGCCGGAATTGCGGAAGGGTTGCGTATTTTTGAAATGCCATGTCGGTGGACGTTCAATATGTAGAGGCATATGTGATTATGATCATCATCATCATCATCATCATCACCATCACCATCACCATCATCATCATCATGATCATGATCATGATCATCGTCATCATCATCATGATCATCATGATCATGATCATGATCATCGTCATCATCATCGTGATCATTATCATGATCATCATCCTCATCATCCCTTCTGAAGATAAGTTGATGTGATTACATGGATCTCAAAGTAGATGGCTCAACTCAAAAACCAAAATACCCATAAGATGGCACCGCGCGCTGAGAAAGAAAACGGCGCTATTTTAGCTGGAACATAAAACGAGTTCCGCCAATTGAAGAAAAAATCACCCTACTTTAAAATGAGAAGGTAGATGGCGCAACTGCCACTCCAGTAGATGGACATAAGGGTATTGTTAACTAAATTTACTACATTTCCGATCATTTTTGCTTGTATATACGGTGGAATTGCACAAATTTGTATTGTATAAATGTCCCTTGAATCCCATTCCAATGCCAGAATTTTTTTTCGATGGGTTCAAAAATGAATTGCGCCATCTACTACGTTCCTTAAATCGCATTCAAATCTTTCAAAATTTCAGTGCCATGCCTTAAAAATGAACCACTGAAGGTTTTAAAACTAATTGTGGACAGAATTTATGGATAGAAATTTCATTTTTCAACATATTTTGACAAACATATACTGGAAAAACACTTTTAAAATTTCATTGCAATACCTTGAAAATGAGTTGCGCCATCTATGTCCCTTGAATCCCATTCAAACGCCATATTTTTTTTCGATGGGTTCAAAAATGAATTGCGCCATCTATGTGCCTTAAATCGCATTCAAATCTTTCAAAAATTCAATGCCACGCCTTAAAAATAAACCACTGAAGGTTTTAAAATTGATTGTGGGCAGAATTTATGGATAGAAATCTCATTTTTCGACATATTTTGACAAAAATATATTGGAAAAACACTTTTAAAATTTCATTGCAATACCTTGAAAATGAGTTGCGCCATCTATGTCCCTTGAATCCCATTCCAATGCCATATTTTTTTTTCGATGGGTTCAAAAATGAATTGCGCCATCTACTACGTTCCTTAAATCGCATTCAAATCTTTCAAAATTTCAGTGCCACGCCTTAAAAATGAACCACTGAAGGTTTTAAAACTGATTGTGGACAGAATTTATGGATAGAATGTTCATTTTTCAACATATTTTGACAAACATATACTGGAAAAACACTTTTAAAATTTCATTGCCATACCTTGAAAATGAGTTGCGCCATCTATGTCCCTTGAATCCCATTCAAACGCCATATTCACCCCGCTTCGCGTGGGGTGGCCGCCCACACCGCAGGTTTATTTCGGTCCGTGAGAGGGGCTAAGGGTGGTTTTCCCCCGTGGGGGCTCCCCAAGCTAAGAATTTTCACTTTTCCCCCCCGTGGGGGCTCCCCAAGCTAGGGAATTTTCACTTTTCCCCCCCGTGGGGGCTCCCCAAGCTAGGGAATTTTCACTTTTCCCCCCCGTGGGGGCTCCCCAAGCTAGGGAATTTTCACTTTTCCCCCCCGTGGGGGCTCCCCAAGCTAGGGAATTTTCACTTTTCCCCCCCGTGGGGGCTTCCCAAGCTAGGGAATTTTCACTTTTCCCCGCCGTGACAGCTTCCCAAGCTATGGAATTTTCACTTTTCCCTCCCTTGGAGGCTCTCCAAGCTGCGGAATTTCAAATAGCTAGACAACGACGCCTAGATAGTCCCCCAAATCCCGTGTTCTTTGAATGTGTTTCCATGTTTTTGCAATGGTTTCCTTCAAAGCACGGTACTTTACACTTTTGTCGCCATAAAACCGGTCGAAAACATCATGTTCGACAATGCTTCCAATTCCAAACCGTTGAAAATACCGCTATTTACAGTGTTTTCTTCAATTTTTCCATGTGCCAATGCCGGTAGCCAACTCCAACATATATATATATAAGAAATCCTTCCAAAACATTTTTTTGACAGTGTTTTTCCAATGTTTCCAGTCAAACAGACGGTAATTTACACGTTTTTTGCAATAAAGGCAGTAAATCCTTCCAAAACATTGCTTTTGACAGTGTTTTTGTAATGTTTCCAGTCAAGCATACGGTAATTTACACGTTTTTTGCTATAACGTCAGTCCAAAACACTTGTTTTTGCAGTGTTTTCAATGCTCTGGCATCCAAAAACCCTGCAAAATCTTGCTATGTACAATGTTTTTTTCATTTTTGGCCGTTTTTCCATTGCCGGAAAGCTACCAAAATGACCCAAAATTCCATTTCAATACCCTCTTGCGCTCAGACACCCAAAAATCCTCGAAAAATGTCGAAAACACCACCGTATTCTGGTCTCGGTGCGAAACCGTTTTTGGCCCCCCCCAGCTAAAGCTGATATAGCGACTGCTATATTAACAAATGTCATTGAGCATTTAGTGTTGCTGTTGCCCCCCAATAAGCACGCCTTCACCGCCAAAGCGGTGTGGGCGGATTTTTTTTCGATGGGTTCAAAAATGAATTGCGCCATCTATGTGCCTTAAATCGCATTCAAATCTTTCAAAAATTCAATGCCACGCCTTAAAAATAAACCACTGAAGGTTTTAAAATTGATTGTGGGCAGAATTTATGGATAGAAATCTCATTTTTCAACATATTTTGACAAAAATATATTGGAAAAACACTTTTAAAATTTCATTGCAATACCTTGAAAATGAGTTGCGCCATCTATGTCCCTTGAATCCCATTCCAATGCCAGACTTTTGTTTCGATGGGTTCAGAGATGAGGACAAGTTCTGTTTTGTAAATGTGGTTGCCAACCCCCCTCGCAGTTCAGCAGGCTGAGGGGGGTTGGCAGTGGCAAACGCATTTAGAAACAGGCTTTTGTCCTCATCACCAAGCCCTTGCCTGACTTGCTCCATCTATGTGGTTTGGAATTGTTTCGAAACAGGCCCGGATTTGGGGAGTTTTTTTCTGCTTCAGGAAAGGAGATGTGGCATCGATGTGGCATATATTTTGGTTGGGTTGGTTGATGGATGTCGGGAGATATGAGGGAGTTGCGCCATCTATGTGGGCATTTGCAGCCTGATTTCGGCGAATGGGTGGGAGTTGCGCCATCTATGTCCCGAAAAATTACCTATTTTTTGTAATCTTCTGCGCTGGTTTCCCCCATATTTTTTTCAACATCAAGCTGCCTTTTTGGGACATAGATGGCGCAACTCCCACTCATTCGCCAAAATCAGGCTGCAAATGCCCACATAGATGGCGCAACTCCCTCATATCTCCCGACATCCATCAACCAACCTAACCAACATATGCCACATCGATCAGAGTTATGCCAAGACAGGAGGCAAAACCACCAGGAAAGACATCAGAGTTATTCCAAGACAGGATGTTTTGCCTCCTGTCCATCCTGTCTTGGGATAACTTTGATGCCTTTTCTGGTGGTTTTGCCTCCTGTCTTGGGATAACTCTGATGTCTTTCCTGGTGGTTTTGCCTCCTCTCTTGGCATAACTCTGATCGATGTGGCATATTTTGTTTAGGTTGGTTGATGGATGTCGGGAGATATGACGGAGTTGCGCCATCTATGTGGGCATTTGCAGCCTGATTTTGGCGAATGAGTGGGAGTTGCGCCATCTATGTCCCTAAAAATGACCTATTTTTTGCAATCTTCTACGCTCTGGCAATTTGCCACTTTGCTTGGCCCCGGAAAACGGGCCCCACCAAGTCCCCCGAAAAAGAGCTTTTTCCTGAGTTTCCCAAAGGAAACTTGACACTTGGTGGGGTCCGTTTTCCGGGGCGAACCCAAGTGGAAAATTGGCACTGCGCTGGTTTCCCCCCATTTTTTTTCTCAACATCAAGCTGCCTTTTTGGGACATAGATGGCGCAACTCCCACTCATTCGCCAAAATCAGGCTGGGAATGCCCACATAGATGGCGCAACTCCCTCATATCTCCCGACATCCATCAACCAACCTAACCAAAATATGCCACATCGATCAGAGTTATGCCAAGACAGGAGGCAAAACCACCAGGAAAGACATCAGAGTTGTCCCAGGACAGGAGGCAAAACCACCAGGAAAGACATCAGAGTTGTCCTTTTTGGGACATAGATGGAAAAACTTCCGTCATTTTGTCAGCAAAGGTCGAGACGCTTTAAAACCCAATTTTAACAAGTGACCTGAGGAACCGTTTTTGCCGTCAAGAAACGGTTCCTCAGGTCACTTGTTAAAATTGGGTTTTAAAGCGTCTCGACCTTTGCTGGCTCAAAACAACTTCTGTCATTTCGCCAAAATCAGGCTGGGAATGCCCACATAGATGGCGCAACTCCCCGGGAGTTGCGCCATCTATGTCCCAAAAAGGCAGCTTGATGTTGAGAAAAAAATATGGGGAGAAACCAGCGCAGAAGATTGCAAAGAATATGTCGTTTTTAGGGACATAGATGGCTCAACTGCCCTTTTTTAAAGGGAGTTGAGCCATCTATCCCCCATTTTTTTTTTGACATAGATGGCGCAACTCAAGATTCCGCGCCATCTACTTTGAGATCCGAGTACATCATTCAACATATTTGTCACAGGAGGTGGCGGATTTTTGGCCCCTTATGAATACAAGACATATAAGTTGATGGACACATGAGTTGACACTATCATTATGATAATGATGATGAGATCATGATCGTGACCATGGTGATGATGATCATGATGACGAGACCATGGTGGTGATGATGATGATGATTGTAAGTGTGGAACAACGTCCGGGTTGGACGGAACATGTTCAAACCGCAGCATGAGGATTGAAGAGAGCCAGACACATCAGGCACAAACATGGACCCAAACATCGAGCAACATGAACCAGAGAACCAGTTTGCTTTCATGTGGTTGTTTGTTTCCTGAGGCCAAGGCTTGGCCTTGGTGTACCTACCAGCGTTGGGCACTCGAATCCAAACCAGCACAGTGTCGGACAAGAGAGGGCTGCAGTCGCCTATCGCCTATACATGTCCATAGAATTCCTATGGTCCTATAGATGTCTATAATCTAGAAATGTCGACATAGTTTATGGTGTGATGGAAGGGCAAGGAGGCCTATTTATATATTTCTCTTGGACAAGGTGACCCTTCAACCAGCAGAATGTTTGTGCGATGCATAGGATGCATAGGATGCATAGGATGTATGCACTTGAAGAATATTTTGTAATTTTGTGTCTCTTAGATTATTTTGTCCCTCAGCTTCCATTGATGTCAGGGGCAGGTCCTCTCCCAGGGAGCTTTGAGAACTGTGACACGTGGTGCAGCACCTAAAGTGTTGCCAACAGAGTTCTTGAAAAAGGATGACAAGAGATACTGTACTCAATGATATTTACCTAGTGCAGTGCTTGTATATCCGCTCCTTTGTGCTTCTCTCGCCAAATGTGTTGAGGTCCTGCTGCACCCATCTTAGTTTTTTTGTTTACGTATGTTACGTGGTTTTGATCTTTGCAGATTGTGATGCAATTGTTGCATCCAGCTGGCTTCTCTCAAAAGCAAGCACTGATCCAGGAACCAAAGCCCTGTGACCAAGGCTACATTTCTATGCCCGCCATTGCGCACGCCCTGCATCACGTTGCCGCCAAGAGTTATAGGTGAGAGATGGTGAGATTGAAATAGTAGCTCGCCTTGTCGGAAAGTGTTGGCTCCGCTGTTCCCATTTTGGGCTAAAGGTATAAGATATGAAGCCGAACCAATCTGAGCATCGGCAGTTGTTTATGTTGCACGCAACAGCGTGCGAACTTGCTTTGATGATAGGGGAAAATCTGTTTGACTTGCACCATGGCGCCGCAGCAGGCATCCGATGTATTCCTATGTATATTCCGGTCTTGCATCGTCTTGCCAGATGGTGCCAGGCTATTCTGTAACGGTTCGACCTCGTCCCCGACCAAACTTTTGATGTGTGACAAGCTGATAGATATTGATGCTGAAATGCAACTTGAAAGAAGAGAGAGTTAGAGAGTCTTGCATGAAATTAAAAATTGTTGTTTGTCTGGGCTTGCGGCATTGGAATTCACGGAAGTCATTGTGGGAAGCTTAGAGGGATAAAAGGGATAGCTTCTGTCCACGATTAGCCACACGCATCCACAAGCGAATTCCATTGCGCATCTCATCTCAGCGGTCTTGCTGCAAATTCGATTGCTGAAGCAGGATAATTCATACGCCCATTTGACAAAGTGCCTTGTAGAGTCGAAGATGAAAAGGAGCGGTACATCTTGCATCGCCGTTTCGCACAGACACATCTCTCAGGCTCTCAGCTTCAGCCAGTTATCAGCCTCTGTCAGCCACTGAAGATCTTTTGCGTAGCCATTGCCACAGAATTCGCTCAAAGCTTTCACTCTTGGAGCTGGCAAATTTGCCGAGATTTCAGGTGCGACCAACCACGAATTTAGGATTAGACCACTGTTTCATATTTTTTCGCTATACCATGCTATACCCCTTGTGGTGTTTTCATCGCCACCTGCCATGTTGAACCGTTTTTCGATGTGGATCTGGGAAGATGGATGATGTGATTCTTGGGCATTTGCTTGAACAGTCCATGATCCGCGGAGACCATCTCTTCATTTCAAAACATTTCAGAACATTCCACAACTGCCAAGACGTCTCCTATGCGCAATGGCATCGCAATGGCAATGGCACAGGCTGCTGAGGGCAGAGCTGTTTAGAACCACCAAAAGCATCCCAAAACCAGAAATTCGTCGGCACATCTCGGATTTAAGCGTGTCAACCTACAAACATGGCCATATTAACCGTTTATTAACCAATTTCATCCAATTTCTATCAATTTCTGTTTTCTTTCTCCATTCTGAATCATGAGCATCCGTATGAGAACCCAGTATGTGTCAGTAATAACCACCACCAAAGGCTCAATGGGATGTGACTGGCGAAAGTGCTCATTTCATACGCGACAATATGCGACAAGAGATTTTTCCCACCTCATGGGCTTCCCCACAATATACACCACGACTCATAATGACATTGCTTATTCTTAGGAGTCAGACCTTTGGGGCATGGGCATATTGATACCTCAGGAAAGACATCCTTGGAGATCTGGAAGCCATATAAAATGGAATCACCTGGGTTCACCTGTATGTAGTCTTGCAGGTTCTGAGGCCGTGTTGCTTCGGATCAGATATCTGCATATATCTGCGAGACGGCTGTTCCTTGTGCAAAAATGAGATGCATTTGGTGCATATGAAAAATTGTTTTTTTGGGGCGTATGTAGCGGCAGTGGGAAAACAAGAGTAGACCTTAAATACCGGTCCAGCCTAAAGGTCTGAATGAAGGAAAAAATAATTACATTCGCCCTGGGCTAATAACCTTATAGACCCCACATTTGGGGTCTACATAGGAGCAACCCCCCCGAAGTAGCTCAGTGTATTCAGTGAAGCACCGCTGAATCAGAGCCAGGGCTCCCATTTTTAGTATCATTTCTTTGCAGCCCTTCAGCCCTTGAGTATAGCTAGATTCGGCTAGATGTTACTTGGCAAGCAGCAGCAACGCCAACACATGCTTTGATCAGGTGTTTGTTTTCAACCCCAGTGCCATATTTATTGGGCAGGCATTGGCAGGCATATTTCATCAATTTTCATGTTTTATGATGTTCTGTGTTTTTCAATGTTTTTCATAGTTTTTCAGTTGGGCAAGCGTGCATGTCAATGCAACTAAAGTTGCAAGAGTAGATAGCAAACAAGCAATGCGGAAAAAGCAGAGGGTTTCCAGAAAGAACCAGTTTTTGAACTTTGTAGATGTATTGGTATTTCATTATATGTGATATATTCGTACGCCATGAAGTTGTAAGACAGCTTGACATAGCCCTTCAAAGAAACCGTAACCTGTAATTGAAGTTGCAAGGGTAGATAGCACAGAACCAGTGTTGAAACAGCAGAAAGGCCTGAAAGAGTCGGGTTTTGAACATTGTAGATATGTTATTCATACGTCAAGAAGTGGTGGCCCCGTCTAGTTGCCTGAAATAAGGTTTCTTCGGGCCTTCAACATCCTTCAACTCAGGAGTTGTTTGGTGACTGGCACCGGCAGCACAGAGGTCGCATGGGGTGTTGGATGCTGTTGCGTATTGTTGCGTGCTTTTGCAAAAGATTTGAGAGACTTGTGACGAGAACGTGAGAGTGCATGTTCATGCAATGCGCTTCAGCCTTGAGGCAACAGACAAAGGCAAGAAAGAAATAGAAAGAACCAAAGGGATTTAAATGGTGAAAGCGTTCGAAAGTAGGGACTGATGATGGTTCCTGATTTTGGTTTGTTGTACATGTTGACCATGAACTGATATAATGCTCAGCAACCATGTCGCGCTGCCATTTCCTTGCCACCGCAGCATTCACAATCAAAAATTCTTCCGCTTACTACTTCATCAGATATTCTGCGACGCAACGTAGCTCGGTGTTTGAACCGCACCTTGGCCGCAGGATGGACGGGGCGCACAGTACTACGAGTACAATTGTGTATAGATGTAGATGATATTCAATGTAGATGTTGAACTCATTTTCAAGGCAATCTCATCGGCACCCTGTTAAGTGGAGATGAATGGAGCACATGTTCAGATCGATTGTGCTTGTTTTTGACTTTCCGTTCAGGTTCGACCCCAGGACCCCCAGGCTAGATCTTGGTGACTCCGGGTCGTTCTCTCCATATTTGCACTTTGGTTGCAAAGAGGTAATTGCTCTATGCTCCGGTGAAGTTGTTTGCGCCTGTGAAGGGTAGAAATTAGAGGAAATTGGCTTTGGTTGCATTTGTTCAGGGTCTTGTGCTTTGTGCTTCAGGTGAAGCAACTATGAACGTTACAAGCTTCAGATACATCGCATTTTTGGCGGATGCCTGAGCCTGTAGGGGACATGCATCAAGAAGCCAAAGAATGCAGTCTTTGATGTAGTTTTCATGCATCTTCAATAGTCTTTGCATGTCTCTACCATACTTTTCACAGAAGTTTTTCCCCTCCTACCTTGATTGCCTTCATTTCCCAAGGTCATGAACTTGCAGCAGGTGCAGGCAACGAAGGATGCCTGCAAAGGAACCGTTGATATGCTCGCAAGTGCGCAGGAGGCGGTTTTGTGTGGCTATGGGATTCTTCGGAGCCGGGAAATAAATACACACACAAACATAATATGTATATATAATTATATATATATATATATTTGCACGTACGCACAATGACTCATGCTGTACAAAAACATATGTGATTGGCTCCGAACAAGTGTCGGGTACACATGAATTCGGACTCTCAAACTAAAAAGCACAGAAAAGGTGGGCAATAGGCCAACTTGTCTAAATGCAAGAGAAGACGAGGGAGACAGAGAAGGAAGCGCAACGCCGCAATTTGTAATTTGGAGATATTTGGAGTGATTTGGATGCTTCTTGATCGGGCGCAGATGCTCTTGCTTATCGCTGCATTCACCGTGGGTTGGCATTTGTGCCTTGGTCTGAAATATTCACTGCTTCGATTCGCTAATTGAACACTGCAGAACAATTCCGACCGATGCAGACCGATATTACACACTTTTTGGCCCCTCTTTGAACTAAATATACTGAATAAATATATTATATAAATCATTATAATCATTATAAATATATACTGAAGATATGTTGAAACTCGGTTTGTTCTGAGGATCGGGCCATGCCTGGGCAAGTTGTTGAAGCTCCTTCGGCATTGCAGAGCCGTGAGCTGCACCAGGCCCACCCGAAGCACTCCAAGCGCCCCAAACGCCGGTGCCTCCAGTGCCTCCAGTGCCTCGAGCGTAGACGGCGCGGACTGCACCGACACTGATAGCGTTCAGAGCTCTGTGGCACCGAGGGAGACTCAGACGCAAAGTGAAACAAAAACAAAACCACGAAAAATATGAAAGAGACATAAAAAAAAAAAAAACGATACGACATGATGCCAAGCGTTTGGCATCTCTTTCTTTGTCAGTTTTTCCCGCTGTGAAAGCATAGTTTGAGCCCTGCTTCATGTCTCTCCTTGGGCGAAACGGCATTGCTTTAGCCAGGAGAGCAAAGATGGAGAGGGCGAAGGCGAAGAAGACCCATTCTATCAATCGATATCAATTTGATCTGAATGTGTCTTGCAAAGTATCGTAACATATTACGATTATATATGATTAAATTATATACCTACATATATATATATAACCTTTTATTCTCATATTTAACTTTATCATGTTTGCAAATATATTATGCTTGTACATGTTTCTATAATTTTCGATGACATGATGACAGCCTTTGGCACTTGGCTGAGCCACAGGTCAAAGGCAGCAGCGACAAAGGAACTTCCCAGCCGAGCTCTCCGTATCTGCCGTATCTATCCGTCAATCATTGTCGATTCTTCTGTCGATTCTTCCGTCGATTCTTCCTGGTTGCATCAGTTGCAGATGTCAGTTCATCGTATGTGTCTCGTCCATCGTATTGTTCTAAGATGCTCTAACGGAATCAAGAGTGTTATCAGGAGTGGAATATGTGAGGGACCATATGTGAGGCTTGGCTTTGCGTCCTTTCACATGAAGCTTTGCTGAAGCTTCCTCCCCAGCTCAGGCAGCTAGCAAGGGTGGACTGGACTCGGTCAGGCTAAATGGGGCCGATGGCAACTTTCAGGCACGGCTCACAGGATCACACAGGAAGATTCCAGAACGAGGGGACACAACATGAGACAACCAATGACAACCAGAAAGAGCAAACATGGCTGAATTATGCTGAATTGCTCTGCATGGAGACAAAGTCAGAGGGCGAGTGAATGAATTGCATCTAATTGAACTGTTGACTTCTTGGATGAATGGGTGGATGGATGGGTGGGTGGATGGGTGGATGGATAAGGTAGTCTCCACATGCACAAACATGCATGCATCCGGGTTGTCATGATGACAATGATAATTGCAATCACAATAATTCCAGATTCCTGACTCCCGATTCCTCATTTCTCTTCCTCATCATCATGATGAATCATAATAATACTTATAACAATAATCATCATCATCTGCACGGTAGCTTTACCTCGTTACATTTTATTTCTGCAAAATGTGAGTCGGCAACACTCAGCGTGTTCTGCAGGAGTGCGCTCTCAACAATCCGTCGACGTGCAGACTGCTTCGTCAAGCTGTGCAAGCTTCAGAAGGCAGAACGGACACATGGCACTTTCACACTTACATGGCACGTAAATACGGATGGTAAAGGATTGGTACAGATGGTACGGATATGTACGGATGGTACGGATGGTATGAATGGTATGGATGGTACGGATGGTAAGGATTGGTACAGATGGTACGGATATGTACGGATGGTACGGATGGTATGAATGGTATGGATGGTACGGATGGTAAGGATTGGTACAGATGGTACGGATATGTACGGATGGTACGGATGGTATGAATGGTATGGATGGTACGGATGGTAAGGATTGGTACAGATGGTACGGATATGTACGGATGGTACGGATGGTATGAATGGTATGGATGGTACGGATGGTACGGATGGTACGGATGATGGTACGGATGGTACGGATATGTACGGATGGTACGGATGGTATGAATGGTATGGATGGTACGGATGGTACGGATGATGGTACGGATGGTACGGATATGCAGACGGGCTGCCCTTGAACACTGACCGGACAAGGTAAGGATATTGTCACGTTTGGTTATCCCTTTTTTCTGTTGGCGTCGGGGTGTGTTGCAATTTAGTTCTCATTCTTTCTCACGATCGACAGCCTCGCTGCGTGCCTTGCATGGTAAGATCATGACATATCATAATAGTGTCATAGCATATCATAGCCACCTTGGTCACCTTGGCCACCTTGGCCACCTTGGCCACCTTGGCCACCTTGGCCATCTTGGCCATCTTGGCCACATGGCAAATTGGCAGTTGGCCCTTCGATCCAGGGCCACACGCACAACACGAGACTTGTGGTACTTAGCCAGGTACCTCTACGGACTTCTACTGTATTTCTGAATGGGGCTTGACTAGGGGAGTGATAGGGATAGCTAGTTCTCGCTCACTTTCATTCAATTTCATACCATGATTTTGTATGAAACGGCTGAGAACATGACCGAATAAAGGAGAGAAACGACAAAGACAACATACAATTCTATACCTCAACTCTGGCTACTGTATGTCGAGTACCCTTTGATCAGTACTTATGTCCAGTATCCCGCCAAGAGCAATGCACTGAAACGGTCGCGGATTTTGCGGTCATGACTGTGCACTACTTCCAAGGACGAAACCCTTTAGCCCCA